AATGTTTTACGTTTATCAAAATTTATTAAACAAAGTCATTACTTTAGCTTCTTCAGAAGTTATACAATGAACTAGTGTAATGTATAGTTCAAGTTAAAGTTCACTGTATAACTCATAATAAAATATTCAAATTATTTACTTCTATTACTTTCATTCTTACACGAAATTGGTAGGGCCATTTTCTCTTGATATATTTTACTTTCATGTTTTGAAGTTCTCTTCACTGTCTAGCAATTTCAAGAATTTTTAAGAACTCCTTTCTGTCCGTGTTTTTCTTTTGAAACAATAAAATTCTACTTTTTTGCAGCCTGTTTACTGTTTCTATTCTTTATCATATAAACTATAACAAATTAATTATTTTAGAAGGATATATGTATACAGTTTTAATTTTTTTTTTTAGTTCATTTAATGATTTTGTGTAGCAATTTGAGGAAAACAATAGATTTTAAAAAAATTTAGGTAGTCATAAAAAATTGTATAACGACGCCAGTATGTATACATATGATAGAGAACGACTTTTTATCGTTTCTTAATTTGAAAAAAACTTGTTCTAACATACAAAAAAAGTAATAAAAGATAAATACCACCATTCTTATTAAAACTAAAAAGTATTATAATTATAATTAGACTTAATTGTCTTTTGTAGTTGGTTAAAAAAATAGCAAATAAAAAGCAAACATGCGCTGTAACATGTAATAAAGATTACTTTTAAAACTTACATTCCAAAAGGGCAGCTGCTGAAATCGAATTATTGGAAGAATTTGCAAAGCTGTTTGATGGCACTGTTGAAAATTGGGCTTCTGAAACAGGCGAATTTGGTCTGGACTCTTTAGAGTAGAGAGGTTGGGCAGGTACCGCCTGATAATGATGTTGTTGTATTAACACACCAGTTGGACCTGACAAATATAGTAACTGTATGCAACTCCAAAACATAAAATTCAATATTACAAAAAACTTCATAAGTAACTTATTCAGAACTTGTTAAGGTAAAAGACGGTATTTATTTTCAATAAATTATCGCAGTATATTTTCGATTAACTCCAGAACTATGATTCTGGTGATAAATCGAAGAGCATACCTCCATTATTCTTAGAATTTCAGTATCTTTCAAGTGACATTTGAGATAGCGAAATCATTCGTCGTCGCTTCGCCCACAGATACGTATGTGATAAACATTTAGTACCGGTTGTAGTTCAAAAACTATGATTCTATACATATAAACTTTATTTTAGTATGATAATAGTATAAATTAATTCCTCTCTTCCGTACTTGCTACCAGTTCTGTTTTTTTCTTTTATATTATTATCTGTTCGTTTTGTGTGTTTTTTTCTTTCTTCAGTATTCTTTTTACTACGTTTTCGTGTTTCTTCCCGAGTATTTTTCCTTTTTTCTCTTCTTTCGCTCAAATAAAATCATCTTTTCTTATTATTTTATTTTGTTTGATTGTGAATTGTTTTCTTTCTTTTTCCTTTTAACATCTTTTTTATTTTACCTCTCTCCCTGTGTTAGTTCGTTGCTAATGAACATTTCATTTCCCTTTGACTTTTACTTTTCATTATTTCTATTCTATCGTTATCATTGTTTCTATATCTACGATACTTACTATTACGTTCTTTCTATTTCATTCTCTACAGTTCAATATATTAATGTTACATTACATCAGTCAGTTATCACTGACCAAGTAATTACCACTGGTGACAACACACACGTGATTTCTCACAGCTCACTTTGTTCCTTTTTTTGTAATATACTATTTTATTACTTACCTTTAGGAAAAATATGTGTCCACCGTCGTCGATTGGACGTCAATTTTATTGTAACGTGTGATGGATCAAAAGGATTTATGAGGGCTCTACTTCTGTGCTGTTCATTGGAAAAGCCTACAACGGGTGGCGAACCTGCAGATCCAACCACCAGCCTCGGCGGTGGAGAAAAATCCTTATCAGAACTAATAGCCCAATTTTTATCTATAAATACACAATTTTATTTCAAAAAGGTTTGAAGGGCGAAATAAAAAATGTATAAATTAACATTGACACAAAGAATATAAAAAACAAACTTCGTTATCTCATCTTTGTTTTTTATCGTCTTCAGAGGACTTTTGACAAACATACCCTTTACATGATCTACCATGCTTTTAATGGCTTAGCTATCTACGGCATCAAATCCTGAGGATCGGCTTACTATACTACTTTATAACCATTAGTTAAACTCGAAAGAAGGATAATAAAAATTATTGTTGGTGAAAATAGGAATAACCAAGAAATGTTGGATATTAAGCAAATTTATATTTACAAACTAATTACTAGATATTTTTTTTTTTCAAGGAGATGAAAGTCATCTTAAATAGCAAAACTCGTTATAAGAGTAATGAACTTCCTAGAATAAAACTAAATGTTGGCGGAAAATCTACTTTCTACAATGCAGTGGATAACAATAATAAGTATTCTAAATATATTAATGAACATGTGATTATAAGTAAAAAATTTCTAAAAATTGCTACAAAGAAAATAATACTTTCTGGACTCAAATAGTCGTTATAAAATTGAATAACTTTCTCTATTTATATGCAGTGTCTCATATTTGTTATGGGATATTGATTTCATTTTTAATTTTTTTTTTTTATTATANAGTATTAATAGGCATTTTTTATTTGAATTTATAAAATAAAGTAAAAATACCTTCAGCAGAGGTACCGCATGTAAAGGTTGTTCCCCAACACAAACCAAATCACTTCCAACACCATTATCGATAATTCTCTGTTTGGTAACGTTAGTTAATTCTCGATCAACTTCAAAAACGCCAACACCAGGTGTTACAACAACGCTTAATTGACCTGTTCTATCGAAACTGCGATCGAGATAATGTTTTTCAAAAACTAAAATAGAAACAAAATGAAAATTGTTAGATTGTGAGCAATAATTACCAATAATGAACGGCTTCAAAAAAATATAGTAACAACATTTTAATACAAAGGATATAAAAATTTGTATTAGTTTTACTAACAGTAGGAAAAGGTCGATTGCCACAATTGCTGCTTGATTGAAGGGAATGAAATTTGATAATATAATCAATACTAAATTTTTGATCATTATATGCTTATGTAAATCGAGTATCTACTAATCATATGAATAATCTTAGGTATTACAATGTTGTCATTTCTTGATCACACACTTCCTGTTGGTTTATATATCTCAATGTCTTTACTCTGAGTAGTAACATGAAATAAATATAAAAGTCCAGGTATTAAGCGAATGGCTGAATTGAAAGTATTTGAAATTTTATCGTATTATTAGAGTAATCAAGTCAAATGGGATCACTGGATTTCCATCAAACATAACAATCATATACTGAACCTTTTGGTTGTTGGTGTTGAAATACCAATATTATATTTCTTATTGATGAATGTATTTTTTAAAGAGTTTTTAACATGAATTCGTATATATCCAGAGCAACTGATATATAATCATGTCCGTCACAATTGCCGACGAAACGTATGGATTTAATTGCTCAGTCGACCACGGTCCATCGTGAAAGCCTACGTTCTTATACTTATATATAATTATTTCATTAGTATAATTATTATTTCAGTCTTAAAATAGGTGCTATACTGATGTCTTACCATTTAGAGACATATTAAGAACTTCTAAAAAATTTCCTTGGGCAGCTGTGCTATTCGTACTAGCAGGTATGGTAATTCCAGGTTTTGAGTGATATTCTAAAACAACTTTTAAATATCCAGCAAACAATTTACGTAACTGAACCAACATCGTGCTCCAATCATCAAATTTTTCATTCTGGCAAGCAACCCTAAAAATTATTAATTTGTAAAACATTAGAGGATAGGATATAAGTTTTTACACAATACTAAATTATTATTATCAACTCTTAATGTATCCCTGTTATTAACTTTGATTTTCTTGAGAAACAACGTACCTACATTACTAGTCTAATTAATAAATATTTTAAAAAATTAACTACTAAGCTGGGTAGAATATATAAAATTAATAATTTAAAAACAATCAAAACAAAAAGTTCTAATTGTATTTGTAATGATCAATTGTGTATTTTAAAAATAATATCTGCAATAAAAAACAGGAGACGTGGTTTATCACAAACCGACAAACCACGTCTTTTCTAAAACTGGTTCTGTATTTTCAAGAAAACCTTCACCTTCTCTTTTGAAAGGCTATGTTATAGTTAGTTTAGGTTTCCCTAATTGCAAAGTTAATCTTAGAGTTACAAATTCATGGACAGTGTCATAAACTACACTGTTACCAAAAAAAAAAAACTATAGAATAAATCGTATTAAGGCAACTTTGATAAAATGCAATAAAAAATTTATCTATGTACCTATAAAAGTCTTCATAATATCGACCTCTATAATCCTGTTGTAAACATTCTCTCAGAAGAAATGTTGCCAGAGGGGGATATAAGGAAGGAAATATGGAGGAAGAAAGTATTGGAAATAGGGTTAAAATGTAGATATGATAGAGAGAGGGAAGGAGCGATGAAGATTTTAAAAATTAAACAGAAACAGACGAGAGTGGTATGGTGAGGAAACAAACGTAGGAGAAATGGTAAAGAATAGATGCAGGGAGATATTAAGAAGATTTAAGAAAAATAATAATATCGAGATATGTGTGTGTAAAGGAGATAATATGGAGGGGCCAGCAAAGGGACTTGATGTCAAGGTATTTAGAAAGAGGTACGGAAATAACTGTAATAGCAAGATTTAGGACAAGGAATGAATGTAGAGGATGTAGATATTGGAAAAAAGAAGAAGAAAGACAATGCAGGATATGTGAAAGGGAGGAAGAGAACTTGAAGCATGTATTAAGAGAATATGAGAACGGTGGAACGTTGGAAAAATGGTACAAGTTGATAAAAGAATATGGGGGGAGGCTGAGCCATCTAAAGAGAATTTTAAGTAACAGGAATACAGAATAGGAAATAGGGTAGGGATTAAGTAGGGCAAAATAGAAATAGGAATGATATTTTTTTTTGTTTTGCTTCTATATTTTTAATTTTATGAAATGTTTGGTAATAGAATTAAGTTATAAGAATATAATGGATATAATGTGTGCAACTCGGCAGGAAGATAAATACGAAAAATTTAATTTTTATGTTAGAGCTAAATTAACTTAAGTTTTTAATAAAGTGAAAGTGATTAAATTTATAAGATGCAAATAGAAGACAGTAATTGTATATTTAATTAGTTGTTTCTTTTTTTTGTCATTTTTATGTATTTTTGCGATCGTATACATTTAAGTTATATGGTTTATTGTTCTCTAGAATGAAGATTTATTTAGAATTTATGGATGTATGTAAACAACTTAATGTTAAACAAAACTATACTATTACTATCTTTTTTTAATAATAAAAATACTTTTTCTAAAGCAGTCAAGTTAGTATTAATAGGCATTTTTTATTTGAATTTATAAAATAAAGTAAAAATACCTTCAGCAGAGGTACCGCATGTAAAGGTTGTTCCCCAACACAAACCAAATCACTTCCAACACCATTATCGATAATTCTCTGTTTGGTAACGTTAGTTAATTCTCGATCAACTTCAAAAACGCCAACACCAGGTGTTACAACAACGCTTAATTGACCTGTTCTATCGAAACTGCGATCGAGATAATGTTTTTCAAAAACTAAAATAGAAACAAAATGAAAATTGTTAGATTGTGAGCAATAATTACCAATAATGAACGGCTTCAAAAAAATATAGTAACAACATTTTAATACAAAGGATATAAAAATTTGTATTAGTTTTACTAACAGTAGGAAAAGGTCGATTGCCACAATTGCTGCTTGATTGAAGGGAATGAAATTTGATAATATAATCAATACTAAATTTTTGATCATTATATGCTTATGTAAATCGAGTATCTACTAATCATATGAATAATCTTAGGTATTACAATGTTGTCATTTCTTGATCACACACTTCCTGTTGGTTTATATATCTCAATGTCTTTACTCTGAGTAGTAACATGAAATAAATATAAAAGTCCAGGTATTAAGCGAATGGCTGAATTGAAAGTATTTGAAATTTTATCGTATTATTAGAGTAATCAAGTCAAATGGGATCACTGGATTTCCATCAAACATAACAATCATATACTGAACCTTTTGGTTGTTGGTGTTGAAATACCAATATTATATTTCTTATTGATGAATGTATTTTTTAAAGAGTTTTTAACATGAATTCGTATATATCCAGAGCAACTGATATATAATCATGTCCGTCACAATTGCCGACGAAACGTATGGATTTAATTGCTCAGTCGACCACGGTCCATCGTGAAAGCCTACGTTCTTATACTTATATATAATTATTTCATTAGTATAATTATTATTTCAGTCTTAAAATAGGTGCTATACTGATGTCTTACCATTTAGAGACATATTAAGAACTTCTAAAAAATTTCCTTGGGCAGCTGTGCTATTCGTACTAGCAGGTATGGTAATTCCAGGTTTTGAGTGATATTCTAAAACAACTTTTAAATATCCAGCAAACAATTTACGTAACTGAACCAACATCGTGCTCCAATCATCAAATTTTTCATTCTGGCAAGCAACCCTAAAAATTATTAATTTGTAAAACATTAGAGGATAGGATATAAGTTTTTACACAATACTAAATTATTATTATCAACTCTTAATGTATCCCTGTTATTAACTTTGATTTTCTTGAGAAACAACGTACCTACATTACTAGTCTAATTAATAAATATTTTAAAAAATTAACTACTAAGCTGGGTAGAATATATAAAATTAATAATTTAAAAACAATCAAAACAAAAAGTTCTAATTGTATTTGTAATGATCAATTGTGTATTTTAAAAATAATATCTGCAATAAAAAACAGGAGACGTGGTTTATCACAAACCGACAAACCACGTCTTTTCTAAAACTGGTTCTGTATTTTCAAGAAAACCTTCACCTTCTCTTTTGAAAGGCTATGTTATAGTTAGTTTAGGTTTCCCTAATTGCAAAGTTAATCTTAGAGTTACAAATTCATGGACAGTGTCATAAACTACACTGTTACCAAAAAAAAAAAACTATAGAATAAATCGTATTAAGGCAACTTTGATAAAATGCAATAAAAAATTTATCTATGTACCTATAAAAGTCTTCATAATATCGACCTCTATAATCCTGTTGTAAACATTCTCTCATATGTTCTGGGAATTCTTCCAAAGTGTTTGCTTGATAAAAGGTTCGGGAGAATAAAACAATAGTAACCTCATGATTACTACCATTCTTTTTCCATTTTTGAAACAAATCAGCTAAGAAACCATTCACAGCTTTTTCAAAATACAAATCTCCGTATATATCAAAGTCCCACATTTCTGATGACATTTGCAAAAAAAGGTATACAAGTGATGTAGAAGAACGAAAAACTATTTTAGTTTCATCATTTATTACTCCACATGCAACTCTATCTCCCAAGGACCACATTTCATATACTTGACAACGAATAGCACCTCCACAAAACTCAACTTTCTTATTCATGTAAACACATGTATTTGTCTATGAATGGCATAATTAAAAAAATTTGTTAAAGGTAAAAGAAATTAAATACCAAGCTCTGTTTAAGTCTCCACATTTCTGAACGTCCCATATACTGATCTTTAAAAGTAAGTTCAACAGAATCCAATGCTACGTCATTTGGATTTACAATTTTTACACAAACAGTTTGATGTTTATATGTCTGTAATCCAAATGCAGTGGCAATGCTTTGTTCTACACTAACGGTATCTGAATAAAAAGAATAACAATAAACAAAACTCTCTATTAATACCAAACAAATTAAGATATTCTTAGTCAACTACCTTTGGTAAGCAGATCATCCTTAAACATTTTAATTTGGAGCAATAATCTAGGATTATCATTTTCTGCATCAGGATGGTAAATTTCTACAATGTCACCTTCTTTAGCCTCGAGAAAATCTTTTGGATTGATAATTAAATCTTCATCTGTAAAAATTTTACGATAATTATTTTCTTGAAAATAAAATAATATAGACGTGATATTTACCACTAAATGTTTTCTGGTGAACTAATAAACGAAAATGTTTCATTTTAAATCACATTACAAATGAAGTAAACAACGAAGAGTTTAACGTTTCTCGTATTTTTCTTTAACTGAATAGATAAGATTGAGATAAGATAAACAACATAGATAAACAATAAGCAACTGTTATGACTGATCATGACCATAGATAAGAGATATATAGAAGTGTATATAAGGTTGGATCATAACGACTGATATTACGAAATGGAATAAGGCATGGACTACGACTATTATTACATCTAGCATTAACCTTCCAGCATTTGTATTAAGATGTTAAGCATAGATAAATGTTAGCCAAAGTTAACCATATTTATTTATCTATAACATCGTATACAACATACCGTTAACATTGAATTCATATTCATAGAAATCACGGCGCTATCTAGCAGCCTTATTAGCAGCTAGTGATTGCGGTATAATCTAATATAACAGCAACTATAGTAGAAGGGAGAAAAGGAGTAGGAAGAGCTTTGTAGTGGTGGTGGAAAAAAAGCACGGAAATCTAAAAAAATAAGCATCTTTTGTGAAATATTTCATACAATTTTTAAGCTTTTAATACATTGGTTAAGATCGTATAATGTTACGGTATGAAAAGATGTGTTGTTGTGATAGTTTTTCCTTTTGTTAATTCTTTTTGATTTCCGTACCTTCCGGGAATCTCCCAACCCCCCTCCCTGCTTCACTTCTCTCCTCCTACTAAACCTGAAAAACAACTATTTTATAATAATAATAATTCACAAAATAAATCTAAAAGTAATTAATGCATTTAAAGGAAATAATTGCATTTATTTGCACTAACATTAACAGATTCAGTTTTATTACATTTTTTATTGATTTATGTATTAATGTCCTGTATTCATTTTTAAAACAGACTAATAGTTAATAACGTTTAACTGCTCGGCTAGATCAATAGCTGCTAACAGATAATTTGTATTTTTTGTAACTCTTTTCTTAGACTGACTTTTCCCATTTACATTATCTAATAAAGCTTTGGCCATTATAATATCTGAATCAATTTCCTTACAGTGCTGAGCAACAAACTCATCAGCTCTTTTAAATTGATTATTGTGTGAACGTTTTAACTGGACAAAATATGTTTCAGATCTGGAGAACGTGGATATAGTCTTGCTATTTTCGAAAAAGGGAGACATGACATTCGTCCAGCTTGGAAATTCCTTACATAAATTGCACAATCTTGATGCAAAATCAGGTTTATAATAATAATTTGACTTATCCCCAACGTAAGATTCTTTCGGCTCATTCATGAAAGTTAAAATTTCATTTTTTAATTTTTCAATATATTTTACTGTCAGTGTCGAATTATTATTTTTTCCTATCATTTCTTCTTCACCTTCTTCGACATTACCATCTTTGTTAATTGCATATTTCTCTTCCAAGCGAAAGTATTTTATCGCCTCAAAAATATATTTTAAAGAAATCAGACAATTTTCATTTAAGTACTTGCTGAGACTAATTATTAAAAGATTTTTTAAAAAGTTTTCGAATTTCTTTAAACTCTCAATCGTGCATGCGAATCCTATACACTTCAAAAATACATTTTTAATTTTCCAATTGACATTCTTAAAACAAGGCCACTTTGTAACAGCACATAACAACTGTGGTGTATCTGTTCTCATTTGGGTAGGCAGATCTACGCATAATTCAGCACCCAATAGGTATTGTAAGCAAACGTCATTGTATGTATTAAAATCGATTGAATTAAAGGCTAAACAAGCAGCATTTTGTAATTCTTCATTCATGTCTGTTATTAAGCAATACGGCACTTTTGCTCCGGATAATATCCACCTCTGAAGCCAGTAAGTGTACAACGGTTTGTAGTTCTTTTCAGATATCAACTGGGCCACAGGTATAATTTTATCATCTATGTCCGTGCAAATAACTGTTAGGTAAATTTGGCTAGAATTTTCTCCATCTGTTTGAATCTTTCGTACCACTGAGTCAGTAACACCCATAGACAGGGTACCGTTCATTTTCTTTAAAATTTCATTATGAAGCTGGATTTGTTCAGGAGACCAATACATAATGTGAAAATGATCTATAGCGATTTCTTTAATGAATTTGTTACACTCAACGGTACTTTTGAGGCGTATCAATGAGTCTACTAATTTTTCTCGAGGCTCCAAATCTGAATCTTCTTTTGTTCCTTTTAGTTTTGCTTCCTTTAATTGACCTAATTTATAAAAGTGTGGTGATTCGTGGTTGCTATGTTGCATATCTTGCCTGACATTATCTCGCTCCCACCGTACAGGAGTACTGAACAACAATTCTTTGTCAACTTTATGTCGTACAGATTTGTGTAACCTAATCTTCTTTTTATGTGGAATATTTTTTGTATTTCTGGTTTTGACTATAAATTCTGCACTTTTATTGCTTTCAAAATAAGTGTCACACATTAATGTAATTTTTGAACCACATTCCACACAGCGTCCGTGAGCTTTGATAATAAAATCGTTTATGTGGTGTGCTTTGAAACTGTAACAACATGGCAATTTTGTGTTACTCCAAATCAATTTTCTAAAAACGCTTGTCCATCCTTCTTGTAATCTTTTAACGGCTCTGCCATCGATCCATTGTTTATCAACAGGTTTGATATCTGCCCACTGTTTAGAGGGAATATTTAGAATAAATTCATCATTTAGTTTGGTTTTTTTCTTGACAGGTTTATATTCAAGACTGTTATCAATAATAAATTCAAAATCTTTATCATCCTTATATAAATCAAAAATTTTTTCTTCTATTTCATTTTTTTCGTCTATTCCATTTGTTTCTTCTATTATCCCATTTATCTTATTATAATTGGTCAAAATATTGTGTCTGTTTTGTTGAACATAATTGTATATATTCACAGCAGACATTAAACCATGAAATGCTGCACTTATCTGACTCCACACTTCATCATTCATTTTTTTTAAGTGGTTGTTATCATCATATAATTGAAAATTTAAAACTTGAGGCTCTATTTCCTCAGGTCTTACAGCTGGTTTACGACCAACAACCTTTTTACTTAATTTATTTTTTGTCACTTTTTGCTTAACTTGTTTTAATTGAGCTAATAAGTGCGGTGATTCTTTCTCACCATTTTGTATGTCTTGCCTTGTTTTATCTCGTCTCCACTGTACTGACTTTTTGATCAATAATCTTTTGCCAATTTTGTATTGTTTAGATTTTTGTAACCTAACTTTCTTTTTATGTGGAATACCTTTTGTATTTCTGGTCTTAACTGTGAATTTTGCAGTCTTATTACTTTCACAATAATTGTTACACTTTAATATAATTTTTGAGCCACATTCAATACATCTTCCATGAGCTTTGATGAAAAAATCATTTATGGTGTGGCCTTTAAAACTGTAGGAACATGGTAACTTAGAGCTCTTCCAAATCAATTTCCTAAAAACACTTGTCCATCCTTCTTGCAATCTTTTAACAGCTCTGCCATGAACCCATTGCTTACCAACAGGTTTGATATTTGCCCATTGCTCATGGGGAACATTTATATCTAGAACAAATTCATTACTTATTTTGGTTTTTTTGTTGACAGGTTCATACTCGAGACTGTCATCAATAATAATTTCGAAATCTTCATCATTCTTATATAAATCATAAATATTTTCTTCTGTTTCATTTCTTTCCATTATTCCATTTTTCTTATTATAATTGGTCAATATATTATGCCTATTTTGTTGAACATAATGGTAAATATTGATAGCAGACATTAAACCACCAAATGCAGCACTTATCTGTTTCCATACTATGTCTTTTCTTGCTTTTAATTGGTAATTAGCATCATATATTTGAAAATTTAAAACTTGGGGCTCTATTTCTTCCGGTGTTACGGCTGGTTTACGACCAACCTTTTTATATGCATCTTTCTTGAGTTGTATCAAAGAGTCTACCAACTTTTCTCCACTTTCCATGTCCAAATTTTTTTTTGTCGCACTTTGCATATCTTCTTGTAACTTACTTGCCCATTTTTCAGAGGGAACATTTATATCTGCGACTAATTCATTACTTATGTTCATAGGTTCATACTCGAGAGTGTCACCAATAATTACTTCAGAATCTTCATCTTCCTTTTTTAAATCATAAATCTTTTCTTCTATTCGATTTATCTTAATATAACTAGTTAAAATATTATGTCTATTTTGATGAACATAATTGTAAATATTTACCGCAGACATTAAACCACCACACGCTGCACTTATCTGATTCCACACATCGTCACTTATTGTTTTTAACTGGTTATTAACATCATATATTTGAAAATTTAATACATGGGGCTCTATTTCTTCTGGTGTTAGAGCTGGTTTATGACCACCAACCATATTTATGTAATTATGTTATCAATGCTGTTTCATGAACTTATTCATGCTGTTTTTTGCATGTCTTCTGTTTACTTTTTGGAAGTGTCTCCTGTAAGGTCGAACAGTCTTCTTAAATTGAAAAGTCATAGGAGTCGTAAGATTCGACTGCGTTTATTAATTTTTATTAAATTTACACGAAAGTCAAAAAAGAGATAATATTTAGCAAAAAACAACAGTAAAAATCACACATAAAACGTAGATCCATTTATGCATTATGGTATTCAGTTCAGAATCCATTTCCAATATTTTAAATTCCTGTCCTATCGAGAAGACTATTTGACAATTAATTTTAAAAATATTTGATAATCGTAAACTCTTCATAACTAAATTAATTACTAATTAACTATTTAGCCACAAAAAAATAAGCTACATTATTCAACCGGTTGTTAGTATTTGTTTAAACAGATGTTAATACAGTAAACATACCAGCAGTAACGTTTTGCTTTTTGATGGGAGGTATGTATTCAAAACTTGTGTCATAGATAATTTATGTTTCGTTCATATCATATCGTTAACAGATACAACTAATAAAAGTTTAGTCGAATTGAATGGTTAACTTAGTTATTAGCTTTTTGTTTTACAGTAAAACTAATTGTAAATATGTAAATGTAGATCGTTTACGTCAGTGTTTACTCTGAAGGACATCGTAAATCGCATGACTTGACAGGTGATTAATTAGGTAGAACAGCTTTAAAGGCTTACAAACAAGACAAATAGTAAAATCTGGAACACAAATGCAACAATTTTAATTATGGCATCAAGTAAAAATGAAAGCGAACCGAGCAGTAGTAAAGCCGGAGTATCAGGCGAAGGGGATGACAAGAAGGAAGATCGTACTTTTGAATGCAATATTTGCCTAGACACAGCTAAAGATGCTGTTGTCAGTATGTGTGGACATTTGTTTTGGTAAGCTTTTCAGTGTAATCACTAGTCCTAGACTTATTACATTATTATCTCATAAGGGTTTATTGATTTACACCTACAGTGAATAGTAAATTACAATGAATTCAACATGTAAGTGGAAGATAGTTGTTTAGCAAGTGGTAATTCTTAATTTTGCAATTAGGCCGATTAGTTAGCTTGTTTTTTACATTATATGTATTTATTCATTATTTTAATTTAGAGTTCACATTATGCAATTGTAAAGATATATAATATTCTTAGGAAGTATATATTTGGTGAAAGTAAATAGTGGTAATTGCGTTTACGAAATTACCACTTTTATTTTAAACTGATTAAATATTTCTTTGCTACTTTTGATATCTTTAACTTGCTCTGTACAATTAGAGCTCATTACTAAATTTATTAAACTTGTGTATGCATGTACTTAGCATGTATACATCGTTTCACTGTAGTATTTGTTTAAATTTCAGTTGGCCGTGTTTGCATCAGTGGTTAGAAACAAGACTGAGTCGTCAAGTATGCCCTGTTTGTAAAGCTGCAATCAGCAAGGACAAAGTTATACCATTGTATGGTAGAGGTAGTACTAATCAGCAAGATCCACGCGAAAAAGTACCTCCCCGCCCAGCAGGACAAAGAACTGAACCAGAGAGTGGATCTAACTTTCCTGGTAAATGTTTAAACATCTATTTATTGGTTTCTGATTGACACAGAGAAGTCCTTTTGTTTCTTTTTAATTAAAAAAAATGTTTATTAACAGATCCGTTTTGCTAGCAATAAAATATTAATATGAAATGTTAAGAGATAAAATCCCTGCTAGACAATTTGATACTTTATGCACAAAATATATAATTAAATTCATTTAAATTAATATTAATATTTTAATCTAATAAAAATAAAGTAAAATTTTGGGCACATTTAAAATGAAAATATGTAAAAAATAGGAAACAAAGCATTAATAAAAATGTAAGTATTTTCTTTGTGCTGATTTTTAAACTTATTTTTCTTATGTTATTGTAAACATAACTGATAGAAACTAAAACAAAAAAATGAAATTATTTGTAATTGTTATGTGTTAAACAAAATTATTTTTGAGGGTTTGGATTTGGTGATAATGGATTTCATATGTCATTCGGAATTGGTGCATTTCCCTTTGGATTTTTCACGTCAACATTTAACTTTGGAGATGTAAGACCAAATGCAGCTCCTTTGGGAACTCCGCAGCACATGGAAGAACAATTTTTGTCGAAAATATTTTTGTGGCTCGCTTTCTTGTTTATAGCATGGCTATTATTGGCATAGCAATTGCTGTTGTGGGACTATTGATTTGTTTAAACAAAATAGCATTCAACCTGAACTGTTTCAAGCTTGATTTATGAAAATTGTAATACATTATATACTATCACTTAAATTATATATAAAAGATACTATGAAAAATGGTTTTAGTGGTCACAAAGGGAATTGTTATAATGTAAAAATTTTAATGTTAAAGTTTTCAAGGTTGTTTTTTAATTAATCATTTTTTCTTTATTTGCATACTGTATTAAGTAGGAACTTGAATTAGAAAATATTGAGCCAGTTTGCAAAATACACTGGCAAGAATACATTCCTGATAATAGTGCATACATTTATTATGTATTCTATCTGTATTATACAATCAATATTTATTAAAACCTTTCAGTGAAATGCTGTTTATACTGTATAGATAATAATATATCCATTATATTATTTAAATAAAAATAAACGAAAAAGTTGCAGACACATTAAAAGATTAAATATCATTATGCTTAAAAAAACATGAAAGACTGCCACACAACTAACATAATTTAGAAAGTAACAGCAATCATAAAAAGTTATCTATTACAATTCCATGTTAACACCATTATCAGTGGTAGTGAAGCCCTTACTTTTAAGCAATTCATTACATTCCTTTCGACTTAAGGATCTTAATTCTATTCGTTCGACTTCTTCATCTAATTCATTCAAAAGAACTAACTCGGGCGGTGCACCCTGGATTTTTTTAAATTCAACATTTTGGTAATGGGGGATATCTTCATATATAAATCTTCTTACTTCTGGTAATCTATTTAATTGGCATCCAGGACAGCTCTAAAATACATTAATATAAATTTTACCAGATCTTGCTACAGAATTACTTACTTCTATTCTAGCCCTAGCAAATTGTAAGCTAGAACTAGACAATGAATAGGTTATGCATAGTAGAATTTCAAAAACTGATAATAACCGATTCATTTTTTTTTATTTGATCATGTGATTATAACAAAAACCGTAGTATTTATCTTCAATGCTTAGCAGTTAACGTCCCTTAATGTCGAATTGAAACTGTATTAACTGTATGAATGCGATGTTTATTGATGTTTTCGAGATAGATACCCTTTTCTATATTTATTATCTATGATAGTAACATATTGCGCGCATTGAAGTGGAGGGAATCTGTAGTCTAGTTCAATGATTGCGCGGTGTTCTGTCTATCTATGGTTCTGTCGAATAGTCCGATTTTTACCGAAGAGTTTAAGTTTCTGATACATTATTTCCGTTCTAAGAAGGGAATGTACTTATAAATGCTTTCATTTAATCTTCTTTTGTTTCGACTTTTTTAAAGAAAAAAGAACGAAATATATATTATCATATTATACATCATTTATTAATATATACTTACATGATAATTCTTGATACAAAATGAATTCATGAAATACCGGAACTATTCAATTAGTTCGATAATGTTCGGCAGACACACGACGCGGTGTGTTTTCTATCTCGAAAACATCATATGATCATTCCACTAATCCATAGCATTATCTATGATCATTCCACGCTAGTAAGGTAAGAACTTATAGATAAATGTATATAATAGAACAATGAATAGAAATCATTAGAAATATTATATCTTTAATCTATGGTAAGAACCATTCCATACAAGTTAAGATAAGATGAAGTGGCTAAATAACTGCAAGCCCGCGTAATAATTTTTCAAAACAGTTTTGGAATATTCCGAATATACCATTAAAGTACAATCATTGAAGTGGAGGGGAACTGTAGTCTAGTTCAATGAGTACAATATATTAAAGATATTACTCACGATTGTTACCGAAGTTAATTCAAACTTCTGTATTATATGGGTAAAATCAGTCTAATGAAATTAAACGTAAAGTTTTTCATGTTACAAAAAAGAACAAAATTTTTTTATAAAAAANATTGAAACATATTCAAAATTATACTAATATAGTTTAAGATATTTTGACAAAAATTTTGTATGGAGAAAAAATTAACCTAACGATTTTGCTTACTAAACTTTTAAAGAAAACAAATTATTCTGTTACTTACTTTTGTTGCTATTTCAAGATCCGGATTAGCGTTTAATAGAAGTTTAACTATATTGGGATTTCCCTTTTCGACCGCTATATAAACAGCAGTTTTCCTGTCTTTTCCACTTATGTCTACATCCGCATACTTTTTAAGAAGAGCTTCAACAATATTTCTATGTCCACCCTTAACTGCATGTATTAAATTCGTGTCTCCCGCTCTATCCTGTAGACGTTGAAAAAAACAAATCAGGACTTTTATAAATCAATTTATTATTAGTATGGTCAGAACCTACCTGTATATTTATATAAGCGTTAGCATTAATTAACGCTGTAGCAACCTCATAATATCCTTCTTTGCAAGCTATCATAAGGGCACTGCAACCATCTTTGTCGAGGGCGTTTACGTTTGGTTTACATTCCAGTAAAAGATGCACGATTTCTACATGGTTTCCTTGGGCTGCTACTAATAATGCCGTCCACGAATACATACCAGCTGTATCCACATTAGCCCCTAAGATTTGATATAACAATTTTAAAGAACCTCAAGTGCAATTGATAACGCTCTCACTCAAAGTGGGTGAGATCCGTATCAGTTTTCAAAAAGTTTTTGTTGTTATTAGTGATGAGTCTTTTTTAATTTACCTGGTATAATGTTTATTACAAAATTAAAAAAATAATGAAACGCTTTTGCTATCAACTTGTGCAGACCCATCAGGAATTGTTAAGATATACTCACTAAGGATGTGAGTGACAGAAATAGAATTTTTACTAAAATACGGCTTAAATTATGATTTTTATGGTAGTTACTCATTTAATGTATAATAACAGTGATGAAAATGTAAAGCATAATTTGTTGACCCTATCAAGGTAGAACATTTTGCGAGCAAAGAGAAAAATAATATACAGTAGTACATGTATATAAATTCAGGTTTGTATTAGAGTAAGAGATGGAGTAGTTTTGTTTGAGACACTGCGAGATACTATAGAAGATCCACTAACAATGAGGAGACTAATTCTGTTGTCATATTGTTATAGTTAAAATAAACGAGAATTCATAGTGTACTAACAATAAGTAATGTAATATACCATTTTTTAAACACGGGACATTTCTCAATTATATTGATTTTTTGAAGTGAAAACTTCTTTAGCATCGTTGATTTGAATGTCGATGAAACGATCAAATAATCACTAATTTGTATGTATCTGTATATGACGATAAATTAATATAAATTGTTCTTTTCGAAAACGATTAAAATTTAGAACAGATTGGGAGAATATTAAGTAGGTATTTATATAAAGCACTTAAAAATTAAAAATACAATAATAAGCTAATTATCATTACAGCATTGAATTATAAATTGCTGCTCTCGAACATTCCCGTTTCAGAATTTAAAATTACTTCTAGTCGTCATATTAAACAAAACTATATAGAAATGGTTTTTTCTTGTACAATTTAATTTTTGTATTAAAAAACTTACTTTTATTCAGCAAAATCCCTATTAGATATTCGGCTAGAAGAATTTATATAAATCTTTTCAAACTACTTTCACTTTTTTAGAGACAATTTTATATAAAAAAAAAGTCATGTATTGATCAATAATTTATTAACTGTATAATATGTCAGGTAGGGAAAAATAAAAATTACTGTAACACTTACATTCTAGTTTCTGGATTAGAAGTATTTTCGTCTGAATCCATTGCATTTTGACGGTGCAAATGACCGAAACTTTGAGATTTGTTGCTAATCAAGCTACTTTTGCTAGCTGAATATGTGTAACAACTATCATTGAAAGTGGGTGATTCTGCACATTCAGATAACGTTCGAGGTCTTCTGTAATAGTGCTTATGATCGGGGGATGAACTTCGCGCTCTTTCTTCCTGAAGACTGCTATCACTTAAGGTATAATGAATTGAAACTTTTATCGGACTATTTTCTAAGAGTTCAGATGTTTGATTCGTGTCGTCAGGAGAATATGTTTCATTTTGTCGACCAGCAGATGGTGAAAGGGGTAAACTATTCGATCCAGAACTGTGAGAGGAGAAAACGCTCGTAAACTCTGGACTCGGGATTGGAGAACACGCTTCCGACATAAGGGGAGTGCTTTCATTATCACTTTCTCCTTTATCTAAGTCAGGATTTGAAGGTAGAAACTTTGCTTTGAGTTTATTTAATTTTTCTGAACTAATGGTCTTCGGTTCGTTTGATTTTATCTTCCTCAAAGCAATATCAATTGATTTCGAACGATTTCTACCGATTGGAATTTCCTTTTTATTTTCGTGTTTTAATAGGTAAAGAGAATTAGGTCGATGCTTTTTATTAACTTCTTGACTTCTTATTGATTCCTTTTCGTCTTTAATTATTACATGCTTACTTTTGCGGTTACTTTCTAATCCATCAGTTTTTTCTATTAGAGATCCTTTTAAACTTGATAACTTCGCGCTATTAGATTGTTGGCGTCTTTCTGGAACTGCATAATATAATATATATTGATAATAATATTAAATAATACATTTTTAATGCAATATTAAAAAAATACAATTCAAAAAGGGCAAAATTTATTGGTAAATACCTATGATATGATAAGAAAGGCTCCAGAGAAATACATAATTTGCGGCTTAGTTATTAATAATCGTATTTAGTTTTTAATAGTTTTAAAGTTTTTAAATATTTATAGGTTGTCATAATGATTGATATTTAAAGTACATCATGCAAGGCAGATAATTTCCAAATTAACCACAAGGCCAGCTTTCAAAAGATATTTTCTCTTTTTGAATTTTTTTCACTATACAATTTTTGTTTAATTAAAAATAAAACACATAAACAGCCAATAGAAATTATAAACTGGAAACCTACCAGGTGAAGGTGATTGAGAACTAGATCTAGAACTTTGTTCACTTAAGCTTAGTGAATTATTTTGAAGCATGACACAAACTGGTTGCCAGTGACCTACTGGTGAAGATTGAAGCAAAAGGAAATCGGTTTCTTCAGCATTACTGTTAGATCGAGAACGAAAAATCACATCTAGAAAAAGATGTCCATGGCAGTTAGTGTTTGGTGTATGTTAACACAAAAGTGCTTAAACAAACATAAAAAATGTCCATCTAATTTAATTACCAACACGTTAAATACTTCTGAATGTTTTGAGGGCATAGACATAAAATAGGTAGATGTATTTGTAATTATGTCTTAATATCGGCAAATGGTTGTACAATTATAGATTCGTTCGAAATTTTTTGAATATTGTAGATATATAAATATTTTCTTCTGTTTCATTTCTTTCCATTATTCCATTTTTCTTATTATAATTGGTCAATATATTATGCCTATTTTGTTGAACATAATGGTAAATATTGATAGCAGACATTAAACCACCAAATGCAGCACTTATCTGTTTCCATACTATGTCTTTTCTTGCTTTTAATTGGTAATTAGCATCATATATTTGAAAATTTAAAACTTGGGGCTCTATTTCTTCCGGTGTTACGGCTGGTTTACGACCAACCTTTTTATATGCATCTTTCTTGAGTTGTATCAAAGAGTCTACCANAATGTTCTTATTATTGAAACTGGACTAATAAATACTGAAGAAAATACATTTCAATACCTAAAATAACTAGATAACATGCATTTTTTATTAGTAAATGTACAAAAGTTGCATAACTTATTTTCAAACTTTTTCGTATGCCTTTTTTTGAGCTCTTTTTTGAATGTTTATTAAAAATGTTTCCTGTTCTTTGGAAAGTCGAGATATTATTTATTTTTTTTTGTTAAACAGAGGATATTTTCTTTTATTCTATTATTTATGTAAGAGAAATATATGTTTTCCAACTTATGCCATTTACAAGATTTATCAAGCACATAGAAAAAAATGAGAATTTGCAGCAAAAAATGATCATTTAAATTAGAGGATATTTAAAAATGGATTAAATGCATGTAATCTTATGTATTGACAATTTCCTTTGCAAATGCTCATTTTGTTAGAAAATTTTCTTTGGTAAATACTATTTCATGCAAAGCTTTAAAACGCAGTTTTAATGAAATAGACAAGTAAATGAGCAGCAAGAAAAGCTTGCAGAAAAGCTCTTTTGTTACAATGACAGCTACTGAATTCACCAATAAAAACAGTAACAATCAAAAAATTGAAACAGCACAAACACAGAATGTGACTTCACAAAAAAAAATAAAATTAAAAAATAGTTACTATTACAATCTTTATTTTTCATTGAACTTTTTTGTAAAGTAACAAATCTATTATTAACTATTATAATTACATTTAGTGAATTCATTAACTGTCCATTGCCTGGATGCTGGGAAAAGGGGGTTGGAATCATAAGACATGTATTTACATTTATTGGAAGAAATATGGGGCACGATTTCAATATTTAACCATAAGTACATGTGTAAATATTAATAGAAAACAAACTAAAGGATCATGGCACTAAATACTGGTCTTTGGACGAAGTGTAAGGAACATTAGCAACAGAAGCCTCTTTTAGAGGGCAATTTCCGGTATAGGGAAGGCAAGGCTTTTGCATTCTTTTTTAATTTAAATATTAGTTGTTGATTTAGACGAGTTTGTACTTTCCGTGGAGCCGGTATGTGATTCAAAAATTGAAGCTGTTGGCTCGAAATAAACAGATGTTAGTGCATTATTAGCTTCGTTGTTATAAGTAATTGTTTTGAGATTCTTTTCATGAGCGTCCAAGTTTTTCGAGCTCAGGCATGGTGTTACTGCAGTTGCCACTATGGCATTAGTGCCGTAATACGATTGTACCACGGAGGAGTAATCACCTTCAATTGCATCGGGACTTGGAGGTATCACTGACGTCTGAGGAATGTCCGGTTGCATATTATCTCCCGTCTCTTCTAAAACATCTTCACATGCTTCTTCGTTCAATGTTTGAAGAGCTCCACAGATCATTTGCTCTTCTAACGTTACCTAAATATCACACAGAAAATATTTTAATTACTATTATTTAAAAATTACAAATATCACTTGTAAACTATCTCAAATTTCGAAAAAAAAAAAAATATTGCAGTTTTGAAAAGAAAAAAGTGGTTTCTTAGATATTTTACATATCATTCTTTTGCTCATGCCAAACTTGTAGAAAACACAAAGTTTTTTGAGAATGGATCAGAAATAATATCTTTTTAAATAATGTTAACATTGGAAAATTGTACTGAATTCTTGGAAACTGCCGTTATTATTTGTGCATTGTTCCTTTTAAGAAACGTCAAGAAAAAAAAGGAAAGAATTTGGATAAATGTAAAGGTAAAGAAAAGAAATAAATTTTTATTAAAACATTAGCGATAAGTAAGCGAAATATAGAACAAGGAAGAAAGGGAAACTTGTGATGTAATTATTTTAAAAAGAAAAGAAATAAACCTGATTGAAAGAGGAAAAAGAGCTAATAAAAGCATANGATAATCTAAATTTCTTATATAACCTTATACATAGGTAATGTTCTCGGTCTATTACTCCTACAAATACAGCCAAAGTCACAGCAAATGAGGAGCATAATTTATTATGCATTAAATTTATAGTGACTTTGAGCTTAGTTAACTTTACCTTTTATAACTTTTTTCAAATATGGATCCAAGTTGATGGTAAAAGGTAGAAATATTTTTAGATCACTAACCAACAGACTGGATTTGTGAAATGATAAAAATATATCAAACTTTCGTTCATCTCTATCCAACTCCAACAATGGTTCGGTTTCTTTTAAAGATGGGATGTATGGCCTGGCTCTGAAATACAATGGAAAAGTTCTAATTATCGATCAGCATCATTCAAGATTATTTTTGTAACAATCATACTTGTCATATAGAGATTTAAGCGACGTATTGTCATCCAAACTGTCTTCTGATATATCGTAATGGTATATTATCCAGGATGTACGGAATGGCCACTGTTCTGTTATGTTTATCCATGATGCCAAACGATACCAGTTGAAATCAATTTGAAATGCCTTCAATAAACGTCCTAAAATGTTTTTCTATTTATGTTAAAGAAATACTAGGTATAAAGTTTACTAATGTTGGATTGGATACAATATATAGGGTGTTTAGTCTGAGAATGTACACATATTCACAGATGAAAAAAATCGGATGTGTTTATGAAATTATAAAAATTGTAAACAGAAACAAATTGCTCAAAAAATAAATCAAGCCTGTTAGCTAAATGAACTTTAATTTGCCTTTGATTTATATTTGTAGTTTTTCTAAAAATGTCTACCAGTATTTTGGTAATATTCACGCTTCCATAGTGGGTCCCCTACGTCGCATCTATTTCAGACTATAAATTAAACAGTTTCAATATTTCCAAAACCACTACACTTTGTGTAATATATATATATAGCAAATGTCCCCGAAAATATTCAATTGGACCCTAATTTAAATATTACCATCTATATCGCGTTTTAGGCTTCTAAACGATTTAAAATAATTCTTTTAATACTAACATTAATCAAATTACCTATTTAAATTAGCTCAAGCTTTGTTATACCAAAAATAATTTAAGTAGTACCTTTACGTTCTCTAGTTGTTGTAGAAGCAGCTTGTTTGGTAATACCTAATGGCCTCGGTTTTATTTCCCGATGCGTCACAACCGATGATAATTCTTGTTCCCTTAGAGACACTATAAGCATCTTGAAGATTTCCCAGTCGCCAAAGTTCATCTTTAAAATCTAAAACAAAATGTTGAATTAAGTTTTTTTTTTTATTTAATTTCGTTTTAAAACACATCTCTGAAAAGTTACTCTCAATGTGGCTTAGTGGAATCAACAACTGGTTCTGTAACACTTACTTAAATAGAAAAAACCAATTTGTTGCTCTAGCTCATATTAATTTGATTATTGAATTCTTTATTTTACATTCATCCTTTCGTTTATTTATATGTCTCTTTTTGCTACTTACCTTTTTAAGTTCATCCAGATCACAATGCAATAAAACTCTACCGCTTATGTTGTTTTCTTGTATGACTTTGCTGTAGGATTCCAACGCTGCAGCATGCAAATCAGGAATGTTGCTTAATAAGTCACAAACACCTGCGACGTTCAATGATGACAATTTTGTTTCTAAAATTTCCGGCTAAAATGCAGAAAAGGTTTAAAAAATAAATATATTCAGATAAAATAAAAAATTTTAATAATTAAAAATGTTCAGTCTACTAATAGGTATATGAACAAAAAAATCAGATAAACTTCCATAGAATAAATCATTCGGGATATGTTTAAAGCTTTCCGTTATTTTATTTAAACTTATGAGGGATTCAACAAAAATTTCTTTCGCAATTCAAATTAATTAAAAAGCATTTTAATGCTCATATAAGTCTGAAGATTCACTTACAGCTATTTCTGTAATGGGAGCAAGTGAGAACGGATGTCGGACAGTATTCATAGAAAGTGGATCTCCCCAAGGCTGCTGCCAGTTGACTAGAGTAGTGGCATTGGGATAAACAACTGTCGGAGGTACAGGCACTGACGGTCTAGCAAATGTCCTCCTCCTATTAACTGCAGATGCATTTTGCCAATCTTGATTGTTATTACCCCAGTTAGTAGGCATGTTGGAAGGTGGTGTTACTTGCGGCAACACTGATACGGTTCTNCTCAAGCTTTGTTATACCAAAAATAATTTAAGTAGTACCTTTACGTTCTCTAGTTGTTGTAGAAGCAGCTTGTTTGGTAATACCTAATGGCCTCGGTTTTATTTCCCGATGCGTCACAACCGATGATAATTCTTGTTCCCTTAGAGACACTATAAGCATCTTGAAGATTTCCCAGTCGCCAAAGTTCATCTTTAAAATCTAAAACAAAATGTTGAATTAAGTTTTTTTTTTTATTTAATTTCGTTTTAAAACACATCTCTGAAAAGTTACTCTCAATGTGGCTTAGTGGAATCAACAACTGGTTCTGTAACACTTACTTAAATAGAAAAAACCAATTTGTTGCTCTAGCTCATATTAATTTGATTATTGAATTCTTTATTTTACATTCATCCTTTCGTTTATTTATATGTCTCTTTTTGCTACTTACCTTTTTAAGTTCATCCAGATCACAATGCAATAAAACTCTACCGCTTATGTTGTTTTCTTGTATGACTTTGCTGTAGGATTCCAACGCTGCAGCATGCAAATCAGGAATGTTGCTTAATAAGTCACAAACACCTGCGACGTTCAATGATGACAATTTTGTTTCTAAAATTTCCGGCTAAAATGCAGAAAAGGTTTAAAAAATAAATATATTCAGATAAAATAAAAAATTTTAATAATTAAAAATGTTCAGTCTACTAATAGGTATATGAACAAAAAAATCAGATAAACTTCCATAGAATAAATCATTCGGGATATGTTTAAAGCTTTCCGTTATTTTATTTAAACTTATGAGGGATTCAATAAAAATTTCTTTCGCAATTCAAATTAATTAAAAAGCATTTTAATGCTCATATAAGTCTGAAGATTCACTTACAGCTATTTCTGTAATGGGAGCAAGTGAGAACGGATGTCGGACAGTATTCATAGAAAGTGGATCTCCCCAAGGCTGCTGCCAGTTGACTAGAGTAGTGGCATTGGGATAAACAACTGTCGGAGGTACAGGCACTGACGGTCTAGCAAATGTCCTCCTCCTATTAACTGCAGATGCATTTTGCCAATCTTGATTGTTATTACCCCAGTTAGTAGGCATGTTGGAAGGTGGTGTTACTTGCGGCAACACTGATACGGTTCTACCAGGAGTCATCATAATACCGGCATCCTCTAAACTTTGCATTTCCTCTGAAAAATATTACATAGATTTATTGGTGAAAAATAATTGTAAGAAAATTACTCTTATTCTAATGTGTATAACACTAACATATTTATTAGGAACACAAAAAGAACATTGGTTCTAAAGTATTGTAATAAGAACGCTTACTTTCAAATATAATCTAAAACTAGTAATACGATCAAACTTCTTATGATATGATATTCTAAAAGTCCATTTCATTAAAATTTGGTTTAATAAACTTGAACATTTCTCATTTAAAATTGCGATAAAAAATTCTATAATAAAAAAAGTAATCAAGGTAGAACATTTTGCGAGCAAAGAGAAAAATAATATACAGTAGTACATGTATATAAATTCAGGTTTGTATTAGAGTAAGAGATGGAGTAGTTTTGTTTGAGACACTGCGAGATACTATAGAAGATCCACTAACAATGAGGAGACTAATTCTGTTGTCATATTGTTATAGTTAAAATAAACGAGAATTCATAGTGTACTAACAATAAGTAATGTAATATACCATTTTTTAAACACGGGACATTTCTCAATTATATTGATTTTTTGAAGTGAAAACTTCTTTAGCATCGTTGATTTGAATGTCGATGAAACGAAAAAGCGACAGACACATAAATTCATAAGCATTATACAGTATTTCTTATGTTCGTGGTTCACTTTGTGCTCTGCATCGTACCCCCTCCACTCGCGTTTACCAAGGCATAGTGAGAGTTTGCTTGGGCCTCAGCGTTGTACGTGTGTTAATGTGTTTGTGCGCGCATGCGTCGTACAAAGCTTGAGGAATGGCATCACAACAACCGTGGTATTATATATACGTGTACGTATTATATGTTTGTAGAGTTTTTTCATCATTTTTATAATAAAATTATTCAAACATGCCGAAAACGAATGCAGAATATTGTCGCGATCTTGAAACCAAAATTTTTGAAGTTTTCACTTCTACCACGTGTGAATTGCACACATAATTTTTTATTTCAATTTCAGGGCATCCTGCAATTTGCACTTTTAGTAAATTGCTTATTTGATAATTAACACGTTGGATTCTTTTTTAATTTGTAATAAATAATTGCTGCTGCGAACTACTTGATTAGAACAAGTTTTTGTGTATAGTTTACGTGATAAAATTCTTTTCCTTGTGTGGATAAATAAATTTAAAAAATATATTGTTTTAACGATAATCTAAATTTCTTATATAACCTTATACATAGGTAATGTTCTCGGTCTATTACTCCTACAAATACAGCCAAAGTCACAGCAAATGAGGAGCATAATTTATTATGCATTAAATTTATAGTGACTTTGAGCTTAGTTAACTTTACCTTTTATAACTTTTTTCAAATATGGATCCAAGTTGATGGTAAAAGGTAGAAATATTTTTAGATCACTAACCAACAGACTGGATTTGTGAAATGATAAAAATATATCAAACTTTCGTTCATCTCTATCCAACTCCAACAATGGTTCGGTTTCTTTTAAAGATGGGATGTATGGCCTGGCTCTGAAATACAATGGAAAAGTTCTAATTATCGATCAGCATCATTCAAGATTATTTTTGTAACAATCATACTTGTCATATAGAGATTTAAGCGACGTATTGTCATCCAAACTGTCTTCTGATATATCGTAATGGTATATTATCCAGGATGTACGGAATGGCCACTGTTCTGTTATGTTTATCCATGATGCCAAACGATACCAGTTGAAATCAATTTGAAATGCCTTCAATAAACGTCCTAAAATGTTTTTCTATTTATGTTAAAGAAATACTAGGTATAAAGTTTACTAATGTTGGATTGGATACAATATATAGGGTGTTTAGTCTGAGAATGTACACATATTCACAGATGAAAAAAATCGGATGTGTTTATGAAATTATAAAAATTGTAAACAGAAACAAATTGCTCAAAAAATAAATCAAGCCTGTTAGCTAAATGAACTTTAATTTGCCTTTGATTTATATTTGTAGTTTTTCTAAAAATGTCTACCAGTATTTTGGTAATATTCACGCTTCCATAGTGGGTCCCCTACGTCGCATCTATTTCAGACTATAAATTAAACAGTTTCAATATTTCCAAAACCACTACACTTTGTGTAATATATATATATATAGCAAATGTCCCCGAAAATATTCAATTGGACCCTAATTTAAATATTACCATCTATATCGCGTTTTAGGCTTCTAAACGTTTTTTAGAGTTTTGGGTTATAGGTGTTTTTTTGCGTTATTAATGTCTATTACTAACTTTTTTCTCATTGTAAATTCATGGAACTTTTTAACACTTGAGACAGAAATTTTATTTTTAAATCAAAAATAATAAATAAATAAAAGTGATTATACCTGTAACGTAGACGACATTCATGAGCCTTCTCATGGATCGTGGATTAACGTCACTGAAGTAATCGTCAGTCAAAAGCATTTTTGTAAGATCCTGTGCTCCACCTATTTTATTTAAATTCGATCCGATAGAACTAGCAACTGACTCTGACATTTTCAATTTACGTGAATTTTTGCGTGAATTATACTTCAACTTTTCATTACTCGACATTATGGCGCTTTCGGCAGACAAACGCCTGTTTGAAAGCTAAACAGAAAATAAAAAGAAATAGATTAGAATGTTTATTTGCATGATAATAATCATTGGTAAGATAAAAAAAATGATTAAATTATCCTATCATGACCGTAAAAATGAACTTAAAAAGGGTGATTTTATAAATTACTTATTTAAGAAAGCAATAAGATCGACAAAGAAACAGTAAGATACTTACAGACCTACCCAGCATATTACTTCCGGACAATGTCAGACTCTCTTCGGCCTCGTTCCATGTAGATGTAGTTTTACGATGCGCCTGCGCCGTTTGTTGTGCTGTCTTAACTTTACGCAGTCCTGAATTTTGTAAATAAAAGGGTAAATGGACCATGTTGTTTAAGTAACTATGCCCTCCAATGTTACTTTCGTTAAACAACCTTCTACTATTAAGTTCCACAGCCTTTAATAAAATTAAAAATTTACTGTGCATCATTTCAATCAAATTTCCCGTTAATGATTACTTTATGAATAACTGCTGTTTCAATTAAATTTTTAAAATTTTAAATTGTTGCTGTTTATAACAAACTAGTAATTTTTGTCCGTAAATGAACTGGCCTAGATTTATATTAATATTATGGGTTATTTACTAATAAGCCGCCTTATTTTCGCTTGGTCGTGGCCTTTTTCAATTTCAATGAATGACGTGAACATTTCTCTGCTATCCTTAGATTAAATATTAATGTATCATAATTGTACATGTATGTATGTACTGTAATGCATCCCCATGAACTTTTCTAAATGATATCAAACCCAACAAGTAGTTCAGATAACTTATTTCATTACAGAGGCACGCGTGACTAGGCGACTTTGGTAATACTTACACTGTCTTGAGATGCTTGGAATTAGTCAAGTCGAAGTGTAATCCCCTTATAAAATTGTAACAGTGAAATAGTACGACGCATGATAAGGAACATTAAAATTAAAATAAATATTCATTTTACTTTGCTATTATGTTCTCCAGAAGAAAATACATAAATACAAAAAAATATTTCTGTGATTAAATTATACAGGACTATTTTTAACTAAACTGATTTTAAAAGAAATCAAAGTACGGGGCACATCACAAATAATTATCGAACTTTTAGATTTTAGATAAGTTTAATTGATAAATACACGAACTAATAACTATAGCCTTTCTTAAACTTACAGACGAAATTCATCAGAAAACTTATTATATAGATGGACACTATGAAGTTAGATAGGATAAGTAAACAAAATACCTTTGCAATTACGTGAGGATCTATAGCCAATATGACAATAAAAGGACTATTTGCATCTGAAAAGAGCATATGAACTGCATCCAGCACCAGTAAAACTTTATCCTGTTCACAACTATCTAAACCATCAACTATTATCACTAGCCTTGTTTGTTGAGCGCTCAAACTATCTAAACATTTTACCATGTCTTTCATTAAATTTACCTAAAAGTTTTCTATAAAAAATCATATTTTGGATTCATTAACATTTTGTCAGTACCTCTTGTCTAACAGCTTGCAGGAATCCCTCGGATTTTAAAGTGTCCAGTCTTGCTATTGACTTTTGCAGCTGCCTTCTTTGGGAAAAGAACAGAGACATAATCATTCTATTCCAAGTATAAACGTTGGCGATTGCAGTAATTCCTAATAGTAAAGCTATAAATATTAATACTATTTGTAAAGTCATCTTCTCCACCTTTGCCTCTCTAAAAGTTTTATATTACATAGTAAATGGGACACATGCAAGGAATATTTTTGCATACTTACTCGGTTTGCTCAGGAGATCTAAGATGCACCAAATATACAGTTAAAGCACAAATTCCAGCTAAAAAGCAGAGGAACAAAACTTCGAAAATTATTACATACGGAATGCAACATATCTTTCTCCATTTCCATGTGGTTGAGGATTTCACTGAAAATGCAAGTCTTGTATACAATAATGTTTTAACTAAAGTAAAGTTATCTCTTAAAATACCATTACTGTATTATAAATAAATAACCACAAATGAAGTCTGTAAATCAATTAAGCTTTCAATAAAACTTATTTTTCAGAACATTATTTTTTAAAGAAAGTTGATGTAAACTATTGTAAATACCGCACAATTACAATTTTTAAATTATTTTAATTTCTTTTAATAATTTGATGTTCATAAAAATTATTTTGACTTTCAATTGTATTAAAAAAATGTTAGGAGGATTTTACTTAAATAGGTAATGTTTATCATGTCAACCTTTTCTTTTTTAAATATATACATACGTATATAATTCATGAAAGTTAAAATTGTAGAACTGTATCGATCACAGCAGAATTTTATGAATTTTTACAAATATTCGGCTACTGTACATCAGTAATACTTTGGATTCCTGGTAAGGTAATCTAATCTAATTACCTGGTTTTGGTCTAAATGCTCTGTACAGTCTTGTTGCGAAAGTACCATAATCGCCTTCAACAGCATCGTAAAGAGATCCAAGCATTTGTACCACAGAATTTTCACCGCCTGTTGTACTACTGACCCTCGTTTGATCAGTAAAATAAAACCTGGAAAAAGAGTATATCTTTAGCATATTATAATGTCTTTTACAAATAGAAACATAGTGCTATCTTTTATAATTTAAAAATTAATGTCAAATCCTTGGATATTTTTACATATTACAGGTACTTTTTAAAATAACTGTATTAGTAGGAGGGTGTTTTGGGTAGACAAAAATTGTATATTACAAAATTTAACGAGCATATGTAAGGAAGGTGATACATAAGATGTCGACAAATAAGTGAAGTACTTTTATGTATAACTTAACCTTTCTTTATCGTCTAATGAAGAATTCATGTTTTCCACACTACATTATCACGTAATCCACTAAAGATATCTGAATTCTATCATTAACCACGACCCGGTAGTCCGGAAAATATTAATTCTTCATTACAATTTTACGTATTGTATACTTTACCTTATTGGTTGTACAGAGAAGAGGTCGTGCGACTGGGCACCCGGAGGGTGACAAAACATTATTAGCAAAATTAACCTTAAACTATTCAGCCGCTTACTCAATTTTGCATTAAAAGTATATGGCCAGTCCCAATCATACCTTAAATATATAAAAAAAAAAGATGAAAATTTAAAGTATAAAATGTATTTCTTTGTTTAATATACCTCTTGTTTGCAAACCAAACCAATGCTANTCTTTAAAATCTAAAACAAAATGTTGAATTAAGTTTTTTTTTTTATTTAATTTCGTTTTAAAACACATCTCTGAAAAGTTACTCTCAATGTGGCTTAGTGGAATCAACAACTGGTTCTGTAACACTTACTTAAATAGAAAAAACCAATTTGTTGCTCTAGCTCATATTAATTTGATTATTGAATTCTTTATTTTACATTCATCCTTTCGTTTATTTATATGTCTCTTTTTGCTACTTACCTTTTTAAGTTCATCCAGATCACAATGCAATAAAACTCTACCGCTTATGTTGTTTTCTTGTATGACTTTGCTGTAGGATTCCAACGCTGCAGCATGCAAATCAGGAATGTTGCTTAATAAGTCACAAACACCTGCGACGTTCAATGATGACAATTTTGTTTCTAAAATTTCCGGCTAAAATGCAGAAAAGGTTTAAAAAATAAAATTAAATCTCTGTTTTTATTTTTTTTAACTGTTTTATACTACTTAAAAAAACTTAATCTAATAAAATGAAGGAAAGCGTCACGAGTGTCACGATTTATAATACAATATATTATATTAATAGTACATAAAATTGCAAACTTAGTTATTCAATTGTTAAGAAAATAAAGGTACGGAATTCCCAATGTACGAAATTCATTCGCATTTTCGTTACAATTAGTAAGTTTATATATATAAAAGGAATGTAGTTATTAGCCTTACCTCTTAATTTGTTTAAAAGAAAAGATTTTCCACTACCCCATTTGGCATAAAGACCAACTGTTATCGGCATTGATAAAGATGGTTCACTTAAAATATCAGCTAACGCACTACTGTATAAATCGTAACCAAGCATATTTTCATTATCTTCATTGGTGTTAAGTCGTCCTAAAGGAAAAGGTAGGAAATTATAAAAATATTAAAAATTATAAGAGCTAATATAAAAATTACAAAGGAAAAACTAGGTAGATGTTGCCGATTTTCAATATCTATAAAGACAAATAACCTAGGGTGAAAACAGTAGTAGAGACATAATAAAAAGAAAGTGGACGCTGCGTAAAAGAACAAGTTTAGCGTTTAAGATGTGGTGTTACGGAAGGATGATGAAAATACCGTGCATAAGAAAGGTTACAAATGAATAGTTATTGAAAAGAGTGGGAGAATAAAGGCCACTGAGGAGAGACAGGATGGTAGGACACCTTCTGAAGCATGAGAGTCAGTTGGAGATATATTAAAGGCAGAAACAATAGTAAAAAGGAGGAAAAGGAAGATCTAAATTATATTACTGTTCAGAAATAGTTAGGGATTTGGGATATTACAGGTTTTGGGATATGTGATGAATGACTCAGGATAGGAGTGAGTGGAGGTATGTGTTTTGTTAGTCATTGGACTGACGACCTTATGTTAGTGGTGAAAACAATTAGTTAACTATTATGTACAACTGGAGTCTACGACCTTAAGGGCTGTAAAAACTAAATTTTTTCACACTTATTCATTTTGCTAATTACTAAAACATTTTTAATGGTCGTAATTTTAAACAGATATGAATATGCATATGTAAATAATTTATTTGATCTGAAACTTACTTGCACCAAATATTTGACCCAGAATAGTCTTTTGGTGGCTCATATCGATATTATATGGTGTTTCCCCGGCCCTATTCGGTCTATATAATAACTGGCTATGTTTCGGATTACGTAAAAGTATTTCAACTATCTGTTTGGATCGTGCGCGCATGGCAATGTGCAAGGCAGTGTCACCTTTTTTGTCAGTGGCCGAAACTTTGGCCTTCTTGTCCAGCAAAAGCTGAACAATTTCGGCATTTCTGGAACGTACCGCTTTTAGCAAAGGTGTATCGCCATCCTATAATAAAATAAAAGATTACTTAAAAAGTACACAAAAATTTGAAGAATAAAACGAGTAATTATTAAACTTTTCTTAATTTTTCTTTAATTCTAAATAAAAATTTGTTCCTTTCTGATGGTTTAGGATCTATCTGCAGGTCCAATTCTTGCACTCTAACTATTATTGGGTATGTATGTATTAAATTACAGGTTCCTGTAATTTGTTTTCAAACAATTTTTAACATAAAGCGATCAAACAAATTGTTCACAAGAGTGAATTTCGACCACTCGAAGCAATAGTGCTAATAGTTTCCAGCTCACAGTGACTGATACGAGGGAAGAACTTGTATTAAGAATAAAACTTAAAAATATTTTTATGTATTTAAAATAAAAAATAAGACCAGAAAAGAAAGAAAAACGATATCTTAATATTATCCAAAAATATTAACGTGTAGGCAAGTACAATCTAAGGAGATATCTTATGTTGTAATTTTATGAAGTCCTTTATACATTGAAACATATTCAAAATTATACTAATATAGTTTAAGATATTTTGACAAAAATTTTGTATGGAGAAAAAATTAACCTAACGATTTTGCTTACTAAACTTTTAAAGAAAACAAATTATTCTGTTACTTACTTTTGTTGCTATTTCAAGATCCGGATTAGCGTTTAATAGAAGTTTAACTATATTGGGATTTCCCTTTTCGACCGCTATATAAACAGCAGTTTTCCTGTCTTTTCCACTTATGTCTACATCCGCATACTTTTTAAGAAGAGCTTCAACAATATTTCTATGTCCACCCTTAACTGCATGTATTAAATTCGTGTCTCCCGCTCTATCCTGTAGACGTTGAAAAAAACAAATCAGGACTTTTATAAATCAATTTATTATTAGTATGGTCAGAACCTACCTGTATATTTATATAAGCGTTAGCATTAATTAACGCTGTAGCAACCTCATAATATCCTTCTTTGCAAGCTATCATAAGGGCACTGCAACCATCTTTGTCGAGGGCGTTTACGTTTGGTTTACATTCCAGTAAAAGATGCACGATTTCTACATGGTTTCCTTGGGCTGCTACTAATAATGCCGTCCACGAATACATACCAGCTGTATCCACATTAGCCCCTAAGATTTGATATAACAATTTTAAAGAACCTCAAGTGCAATTGATAACGCTCTCACTCAAAGTGGGTGAGATCCGTATCAGTTTTCAAAAAGTTTTTGTTGTTATTAGTGATGAGTCTTTTTTAATTTACCTGGTATAATGTTTATTACAAAATTAAAAAAATAATGAAACGCTTTTGCTATCAACTTGTGCAGACCCATCAGGAATTGTTAAGATATACTCACTAAGGATGTGAGTGACAGAAATAGAATTTTTACTAAAATACGGCTTAAATTATGATTTTTATGGTAGTTACTCATTTAATGTATAATAACAGTGATGAAAATGTAAAGCATAATTTGTTGACCCTTTTGTTATTTTAGTTTTTTTTATTTAAAATTATAATAATCAACCTTTTATTTTGATGAAAGTGAGTCATGATTTTGAGTATTTTTTCTTCTTCAATTTATTATGAAATAAAAATATAATAAAAACTAATAATAAATTCTGAATTGCAATCTTTTTGCCAATCAACAATCATAAAAATACCTGCTTTCAAAAGTAGTTCCACTATTTCCGTATGACCTTTTCTAGAGGCCCATATCAGTGCAGTGGTTCCGTATTTGTCTCCGATGTTTATTTTCGCGCCATGCTTAATAAGGGATTCGACAATTTCTGTATGACCGCGACCTGCTGCCCACAGTAACGCAGATATGTGATAGTTTCCATGTGCGTTTACATCAGCGCCACTTTTCAGCAATAAATCGACCACTTGTGTTCTACCTTTGTAACAGGCCCACATAAGTGGAGTCCAGCCCCATTGGTTCTAAAGTATTGTAATAAGAACGCTTACTTTCAAATATAATACAAAACTAGTAATACGATCAAACTTCTTATGATATGATATTCTAAAAGTCCATTTCATTAAAATTTGGTTTAATAAACTTGAACATTTCTCATTTAAAATTGCGATAAAAAATTCTATAATAAAAAAAGTAATCAAGGTAGAACATTTTGCGAGCAAAGAGAAAAATAATATACAGTAGTACATGTATATAAATTCAGGTTTGTATTAGAGTAAGAGATGGAGTAGTTTTGTTTGAGACACTGCGAGATACTATAGAAGATCCACTAACAATGAGGAGACTAATTCTGTTGTCATATTGTTATAGTTAAAATAAACGAGAATTCATAGTGTACTAACAATAAGTAATGTAATATACCATTTTTTAAACACGGGACATTTCTCAATTATATTGATTTTTTGAAGTGAAAACTTCTTTAGCATCGTTGATTTGAATGTCGATGAAACGAAAAAGCGACAGACACATAAATTCATAAGCATTATACAGTATTTCTTATGTTCGTGGTTCACTTTGTGCTCTGCATCGTACCCCCTCCACTCGCGTTTACCAAGGCATAGTGAGAGTTTGCTTGGGCCTCAGCGTTGTACGTGTGTTAATGTGTTTGTGCGCGCATGCGTCGTACAAAGCTTGAGGAATGGCATCACAACAACCGTGGTATTATATATACGTGTACGTATTATATGTTTGTAGAGTTTTTTCATCATTTTTATAATAAAATTATTCAAACATGCCGAAAACGAATGCAGAATATTGTCGCGATCTTGAAACCAAAATTTTTGAAGTTTTCACTTCTACCACGTGTGAATTGCACACATAATTTTTTATTTCAATTTCAGGGCATCCTGCAATTTGCACTTTTAGTAAATTGCTTATTTGATAATTAACACGTTGGATTCTTTTTTAATTTGTAATAAATAATTGCTGCTGCGAACTACTTGATTAGAACAAGTTTTTGTGTATAGTTTACGTGATAAAATTCTTTTCCTTGTGTGGATAAATAAATTTAAAAAATATATTGTTTTAACGATAATCTAAATTTCTTATATAACCTTATACATAGGTAATGTTCTCGGTCTATTACTCCTACAAATACAGCCAAAGTCACAGCAAATGAGGAGCATAATTTATTATGCATTAAATTTATAGTGACTTTGAGCTTAGTTAACTTTACCTTTTATAACTTTTTTCAAATATGGATCCAAGTTGATGGTAAAAGGTAGAAATATTTTTAGATCACTAACCAACAGACTGGATTTGTGAAATGATAAAAATATATCAAACTTTCGTTCATCTCTATCCAACTCCAACAATGGTTCGGTTTCTTTTAAAGATGGGATGTATGGCCTGGCTCTGAAATACAATGGAAAAGTTCTAATTATCGATCAGCATGAGATTATTGTCAAAGGAATACTTTCCTGCAATAACTGATTTGACCTTTCAATTTTTAAGTTTGTGAAAAGTTTTTCAAATTTTGATTTTGTAAAAAATCGTCAATGCGCCAATAATCA